AACAGCTGTATTCGTTATTCAGTAGAAAAGGTATACCAAACCAGAACTAAGTTCGTATCTAATGATGTTGTTAACTGCGGTGTACTGTGTGTCCTACACATCACATGGATTTGTTCAAATGAATGACTTAACGGAAAACGATGTTTGTTTGTATGACTGTATGTTTGTTTGTCTATGAGAGACATACAAAATGTACTGATTTACCAGAATATGCTCTCCTTAACACCGGTTACTACATATACTGGCTACATGACAATATGTTTTCCAGAAATTAATAGGCTATGTACTTTATTACCACCAAGAAAGCATATCATTTTCACTAATTTACATTCGTAGAATTCCACATCCACAGCGGAATAGGAAAACACATACGTTTTTGTAGGACATTTTCTAGAGTATATATCAATTATTTATGTTCATACCGTACGAATATCACTAATGGCAGGGTGTCGTTGTCTGTGCAGACCACACCGTTCACAGTTTTCTCAATTATTGGCATAGTTCAATCAAGAATTATGGCCCACAGATAATTTAACAGTCATATTTACATTTATGCGGAGGTAACCTTTCCTCGCTAAAACGGAAATGTGTACATATTGCAGCCGTTATACATGAATGTGATCCGTTACACGTTCGGCTGGCCGCCATGACATCCGACCCTGTAGCAATGCTATTTCATTAGTTCGTCTACAGTTCAGTTTAGTGGACTCCTACCAGAAGGGAAAGTTCAGCAGTGGTTCTGAAGTTAAAAGCCTATCAGACATTGACATCTGACATTGAATCTGTTAGATATTATCACGTTTGTCTACATTGAGACATTGGTCACTGCTCGTTTGCTCGTGTCATCATGCAAATGAATCATTGACAGGGATGTTAACGTTTTTTGGGGGTTTGTTTTTTATGTCTTTCATCCTTATACAGTCCTTTATTGACATTTCATATAATAACTAAAAACCTTTAAATGATATGATTAAAGTGTGCTTGAAAATCAGCATCATTGGAAAATACATTTCCTTAGAAACAAAACAAATGAACGGATGACGTACACTAATAGAAGCGAATATTGGAGATTTGGATTAAAATACGGTAGATATGAAGTGCAAACATGCGTTATCTTTACAGAGGCAGAAAGGTCATGTCTCACAGTTCCTTCGCATAATTAACACCGTTTAATAGGGAGCAAGTCCTCCCGAAGAATTCATTTGACAAGGCCTTTGATGTTGTGGTATCGAGCAGTAATTATCTTCCCTGTCTACCATCACAGAAGGACATCCGTAGTGATTAGACTTTCTCTGCATATGCATGACACATGGCCACTCAGTCTTTGATGTTGTTTGTAGCGAGAATCCGTATCTATTCCTACTAAATCCTAAATACAGCGTCAATGTTGTCTTTCCATCTACCAAAATGGCTCACAAGGTCGGAGGCTTTGATTTTCGGAGAGAACCACGGCATCCTGTTGGCAGGGAGCGACCTGTACACCATTACTGGACAACAGGTTTCCCTGTCTATCGTTGTCTATTAGGCGCGTGCTGAGCGGGTGCTAGTCTCGCGCGCAGTTGGTACCCTCTGGTAGATCAGACCAGAGCTCTAAACCATGAATGGTAAACACGTGCTGGTATGAATTAGATGAATTACCGGGCAGATTATATCCCACCTTGACGTTCATGATTACTTAGGTTTTAACCTTTTTTAACAGATATTGTAGGAAGAAGATTTTTTATCGAGGTTAGAAATGGGCCACTCCGAAGGTCTTCTAGTAAACCATTATTCATTCTGTTGAAAGAGAAACAATAATTTTGGCGGGGAATTCTTTCCTGATCGACCCGGATTACCAAGCTACCTTGTCACGTTAACGTGTAATAGTTTGGTGTAGAGCGTTCTAACGATCCGGATTACCAAGCTACCTTGTCACGTTAACGTGTAATAGTTTGGTGTAGAGAGTTCTAACGATCCGGATTACCAAGCTACCTTGTCCCGTTAACGTGTAATAGTTTGGTGTAGAGCGTTCTAACGATCCGTATAACCAAGCTACCTTGTCACGTTAACGTGTAATAGTTTGGTGTAGAGAGTGCTAACGATCCGTAATACCAAGCTACCTTGTCACGTTAACGTGTAATAGTTTGGCGTGGAGAGTTCTAACGATCCGGGTTACCTGGCTACCTTGTCACGTTAACGTGTAATTTTGGTGTAGAGAGTATAACAAGCTACCTTGTTAACGTGTAATAGTTTGGTGTAGAGCGTTCTAACGATCCGATCCGTATAACCAAGCTACCTTGTCACGTTAACGTGTAATAGTTTGGTGTAGAGAGTGCTAACGATCCGTAATACCAAGCTACCTTGTCACGTTAACGTGTAATAGTTTGGCGTGGAGAGTTCTAACGATCCGGGTTACCTGGCTACCTTGTCACGTTAACGTGTAATAGTTTGGTGTAGAGAGTGCTAACGATCCGGATTACCAAGCTACCTTGTCACGTTAACGTGTAATAGTTTGGTGTAGAGAGTTCTAACGATCCGGATTACCAAGCTACCTTGTCACGTTAACGTGTAATAGTTTGGTGTAGAGAGTTCTAACGATCCGGATTACCAAGCTACCTTGTCACGTTAACGTGTATTAGTTTGGTGTAGAGAGTTCTACTATCGGTCATACTTCATCAGAGAACCTAAGATAATATCTTATATATATAATGTGTACGATTGATACTTAATTGAATTTGAAATAATGCCAAGTATTTTCCAATTAAAATGTAAAGGATATATGTTACCAGTAGCATGTTGTAGTGAAGGGCTATTACGAGTCAATTTTGTTAACACTCTTTCTATAAATGACCAATAATTTGGTGTCAAAATGCTTGGGATGAAGAGCTATCAAAATTAGCTCAAATAAATAACCTTGACCGCTTTTCAAGTTTTGTGTGAATCGTTTGTAAAATTCTATAAGAATTACTTGAGTATTCTTTAATTGGTTTTACATGTGAGCAGACCAGACAGATTAGGTATCCTGATGAGTGACTTATGTAAACTCTTCCTTTCTTTGTCGTCCACTTACGTAAAGTTACTCAACCGTATCACCTGTCGGTGACTCATTGTGTTGTATATACGGAGGTGTAAGTTACATGGTATGACATCAATCAATGTCGGATTTCAGTAAACTTTTCTTCTGTCCTTATCGTCAGTAACAACAATTAGAACATATCTATTTATCAATCATGGCGTTAGTCATTGTCCATGCTTATTTCATTCCTCAAAGATTTACAATCTAAACTGCTCTAAGCAGAAAGATGACTGTACACATGATATACCCAGTACCAAAGCACACTGATAATCATATTGAACTTAGGATTCACAATTTTATCGTGTTATCTTATTGTGAAGATTTTTTTACTTCATGCCAATCTGTTTGTGTGTTCGTGTGATGTATGCAAAGTCGGTTAGAATTAAGGACTAAACCTCAGTAGCCATTTCTTGCTATCTAACATGTAGATTATTTACAAAGTCTTTAAAATGAGATTTACCGAAAGTCCACATAATCTCTATAACTTAATGACCGGGGTAGCCTGATATCCCGATTTTTACCTCATAGTAGGAAAATTACGTGGATTGCTATCCATATATGATACTTCTTACTCTACCTATACTAGTCAAATAACAGAGTGTGTATTGTACATTACATAAACACGTCTTTCTCACTCTATAGATCGATTGTACCATTGGGTGACAGGGAATCATATTTTATAAGGCATCTACCAATTTCTTTATATTTTTATATAAGACGGTACAAGGCCTTGCGATGCCGTCATCTCTGTTAGGGAGATTTACATAGGTGTCGTTTGTTGACCAAGTAGAATTTTATCTACAGATTAATGAGTGAAGGTGGCCGACGTCCAGCAGGATGCCCGGATGTGATGACAATGTAAGCAAGTTAACACCGGAAGATGAGTAAAATATGTGAAAATCTAATGTGTAGAAGAACATAAAGTGATGATGAAGTAACCACCTGTCCATTCTATAGTAAAAAATGTCTGGAAAAAGTGTTAACATAAGTGGTTTGTGATGTCAATGTATTGGACAGTACTATGTTAGTCAAAACAACAAAGTCTTAATTAAAGTTCGTAACGATTGGATACACTTATGATAGTTAATGAACGAGCTTATTGTCCATGTATTTGTGTGTTGTATGTGTAGTAATAAGTTACACTGTGTATGATGATTCCTTACAGATTATCATCACTGTAAACGTGTTTGTATACTGCATTATCTTCTAGCTCCGATAAACATTAATATAATTAGTTAACTGCCACAACGTTTTGCCTCAGCACTATATATAAATTAGCTTGAAACGCTCTCAAGCATCGAATAAGTACAATTATGTTGCTAAGCATCAGACAGAATGACGATATTTGTTAAGTTTTGTTACTCATAGTATCTATGTTATGCGTGGAGGTGAACAATAACCATTTGCAACATTGTGAAAAAAGACGTCTCGCTGCCGTGACAAGGTCATACATTATAGTGAATACTTTGTCTTTTAACTTCGTTTCATTGGTAATTCGTCTTTTTCTACAGACATGTCTCACTTCGTTCCATTAATAATACGTCTTTTTCTACAGACATGTCTCACTTCGTTCCATTAATAATACGTCTTTTTCTACAGACATGTCTCACTTCGTTCCATTGGTAATACGTCTTTTTCTACAGACATGTCTCACTTCGTTCCATTGGTAATACGTCTTTTTCTACAGACATGTCTCACTTCGTTCCATTAATAATACGTCTTTTTCTACAGACATGTCTAACTTCGTTCCATTAATAATACGTCTTTTTCTACAGACATGTCTCACTTCGTTCCATTGGTAATACGTCTTTTTCTACAGACATGTCTAACTTCGTTCCATTAATAATACGTCTTTTTCTACAGACATGTCTCACTTCGTTCCATTGGTAATGCAAAATAGCATGATGAGGTTGACATCTGTTCTTCTTTAAACAAACAAAAAATAGATCTTATAATATATTTATTTTATTTCAATTATTGATTCAATGAAATAAGCAATGCCGTTTTATATACAAATACTTCAACACACACACACACTGCATTCATCTTCTCAGACAACAGATAAAATAAATTACAAAGACTTTCATCAAATGTTACCTGTCACCATCACCTTGTCATTACATTATTATGTTAACATGCTACCCTACCGATGAAATATGTAGTTTATTTAGTAAAGTATGAGTGCTTTCTTTATGATAGGACTGATTACCTGGTTATCATCACACCATAGCGACGATGGAGTCGAAATTTACTGTTCACAATAACTGCTTGTCAAATGAACTTCTTTCGGTATGATTTTCGAACCTTAAATCAACATTTCATCAATTATAGTTTAATCATTTAAAATAAATATGACAAAAAAATGGATTCCTGAGCCATAAATACAACACACATGAGCTAATATACAAACACAAATACTAAGGCACATTATTTTTACGGAGCAGCACTATAACAAGTGTTAACACAAGGATTCCGCCGCCTTATCCATAGGAACTCCAAAAGATGTAGTCAGTAGAATGTCGATAAGAACTTCTGAGTTACATCTGTGGTCCAATTCGGTCGGAAGAAATTTGATTACACGGACGTTACAGAAGACGGGAGCCCTATATGCGGTTGATCGGACAATATAGATCTTAAAGGTTCATAGTTCAAGCATTATTGATTTCTAGGTAATACCCAGATAAGCGATACTTAGGCTTTACGATATATCACTTCTAATCCTTGGTTATGGTCAAGTTTATGAGAATTGGAATGCTTAGAGTCCTTTCCTCATACAGTACAGCCTTTGTATCTTTCATCGTATAAAAATTCAGGCAGAAAGTCTCAAATGACATATATTTATAAACATGTCGATGTTTTCTTCATGAATTGCGGATACCGAGAATGTTCATACGAATGTACGAAACGCTAGTCCAATAAACGAAACCAGGAAAATAAAAATGATTTTCTGTAATACTATCACTTGGAACACATTTAATGTGTGGACTACATGTTGAATATAAACATGTCGACCATGCAGATGAGAAATAAAAAAAAGATTTAAACATTAGACGTTTCATAGTCATACAATATAATCAGCCTGTAGGTTCTGGTCCGGTCAGTGTATAGCACTCTTCATAGCAAGTATAACTTCACACAAGTACACATCACTAAACCAGCTCTGCTCGATGACCTAACGCCAATGATACCCATGTTCTCTACCACTTGGTTAATTTCCAGATCCTGACGATCACGTTATGACAGTTGTCAGTGTTTGTCGTAGCTTTTGCGTCTTTTGGACGTTATTGCGACTATGACAGTTGTGATCGTTTGTCGTAACTTTTGCGTCTTTTGGACATTATTGCGACTTAAGTGCCGCATTGAATGCTGTTTAATTTGAGAACGCTCATGGGAGAGACGAACGTGTTGGATTTTATTCGTTCAACGTATGAGCTTGTTGCAGACAACGTTTCTTCTTAGGTGTTGTGTCGTCTCTTTACGATATTTCAATCGAGTCGTTATTGGCCATTCAAACTCCTTACTTTGTGCTGCATTGATAATCAATCGATCACACAGTCGACTTGGTAATTGCATCCCAACGTTTGATACGGTATTTTGCGGTTTGCAGTTGGTGTCTTGTTCCACCATTGTTGTTACGGTTTATACCGCAAGGTCCATCCTCACTGACTGTCTGAACGACACGCGTGATAAAACAACTTTTAAGTCTTTCCATTTTACTGTAATTATTACTCTCACGTAACTTCAATATCACGTGTTATATCCGGGTGTTGGCTTCGCATTTTAAACTGTTTCATTTTTTGTTTTTCCATCGAAACGTCATCAGGTTGCGTTCCGTATTTTGTGGTAAACTCTCTTCCTAATTTTTGTTGCTCTAGCATCATTTCGGTATCTGGCACCATGCCATACTTCATTTTGAATTCCTTTCCAATTTGAAATTTACTTTCCGGATAAATCTCGTACCTCGTTTCCGGGTTGTACATTTTGTTTTCCGGTTGATATCCAGGATGGTTTTTCGGAATCGTATATTGCTTCAATTTAGCTATATTTTCGCTCAGCGTGGGTGGTGAAATTGGTGACCGTGGCTCCCCCATAGTGCGCGGTTGACGCCAGCCGTATCCGCCCCAGCCATAAGTGGGGTCGATGTCGGGAGTATGTGGCGGGATATCATGTCGCTCTACGATGGTGGTGAGCACAGGGGGACTTTGGTTATACACCGATGGACATGGGCTCGAATCTTCCTCCATGTACTGGTCCATAACCATATACTTTTTGTAATTGCCGGGATCAGAGTTCTGGTCCGGATACTCTCCCTCGGAGGGCGACTGTAAGGAATTAGTCAGACTATTTCTGTGTGTATACTCCCGCACAATCCCTTGATTTTTGACTTGGGGTCGTGGGAGGGAATAGTATGGCGGGGGATAGTTACTTCCTTTCTTGCTAGAAAGAGTCGTGCTCGAGCTGTTACTTGTCATTTCCATATTCGTGTCCTTGAGCTTTGCTTGTTGTAATTTGGCCTCCTTGTCTTTTCGCTTCTGCCGGCGTTTTGCGCGCCATGTCAAGCACCCACCTATGAGGATGCCGGTGCCTATGACGCCCACCACAGCTCCAAGAATAATCATGTGAAGTGGAATGACCGTCACCTCCTCCACTGAAAAACACAAAGCACGAATCATAACACAATCTAACATGGTTCATTAACAGTTGTAAATAGGCACTAACATAATAGCTAACAGACCGTTTCTGTGTGTTTTATATATCAACAGAAATGTATACAGCAATGCTTTTAAAATTGTAATTGAGCAGAAAACAACTGCTTCATTAATGATGCGTAAACATAGGTCAAATGTGCCTCTGAAAGTCTTTCTGTAAAACAAAAGTATGGAGCTGTTTGATTTTGAAGTTCAAATATACAAACTTCGTCATCTAATGCTGTTTTGACATAACTTAAAAAGGAGCGTCACGTTGACATGCAATTCTGATTGACCATTCCCTGATAAGACATTGTAACCCAAATGTTGGTACAACGTGAAAATGGACAGACGCAAATAGAACCGGTCAGTAGTGATGATATCATGTAGACCGAGGGGAGTACATGTGGTGAAACTTTGTTTTATCAACAATAGCCACAGGTACGTCAGGCCTTGTCTGAGGGGTGGCCGTGGGCCTCACGTGAGCGGCTGGGCCGTGTAACTGGTGGAACATGCACCGCCGACAAGGCACACGCGCCTGGCGTCTTTGTGGGAAGAGACCATGTCTGGTTAGTATATCACGCTCGTGTACGATAACCTCGTCTGTGTACGTACTGACATGAACACTAAACTGCTACCGTCCAATAGTAATCAGTGGTGTATATACATGTTTGTGCATAGATCCAACAAATGAATTCGTTCGTATTTTCCAGAAAATTTAACGTTGAACTGGTCACGAAAGAACAAATTAAAGACCAGCGACTAGTTGACAACATTTACCAATTACTGAAGACCTATATTTAAGTGGTTTTAGCCGTTTTAACTTTTGATGATCATCGTTTACACGCTATTTGTCACGGGCTGCTATATTGTTATTACGTACGTTCGAGTGTTATTTGACGTGATTTGTTGTATGGTTCAGGTGAAGGTTTGAAGGTATGTTATAATGTGGCGTATATTTACAAGCTAATTGCCACTGTCAGCTACACTGTTGGTGTATGTTCGAAAACAGTTTGTGTTGTGATACAAACCTTTTGCTACTATTTGCTGTTTGTATATGTCTGCCTGAATCGAAATTCGGTTGTAAAGCTGAGTATTTACTAAGCAAGGTAAAAACAAGCCCACAGCAATGACTATGTGTTTACGAAACAAATGATAACACATGTCTACATCATCTTCAAGTCAATATGCCGATTCTGACTCAAATAAGCACCAGACTCGCCCACGTTATCATAGTAATTGATAACTTCCGGTGATACGCGGTTCTTACTTTAGGGAGAGTTTATTTCCGCTGTAGAAATGATGATAAACTTGGCTGATTATTATGATAACAATATGCATTGTTCCAAACAAATGAAAAACGAAAAGATATTAATTATTACAATTACGGAGATAATTTTGATTTGTGAAACACTGCTATTCTTATCAAAGTTAAATGAAATATAGCATGATATAATCAAGAAAGATAAAAAGAAATTAAATGTGAATTAAAATCCTAATTATTGCTGTCTGGATGGAGAGTACGTGACCTCATCCGTCCCACACAGGCTATGCTGTTGTTATAACTCTAATCAAACGCCTGACCACGTGTCAATGGTCCGCCTTTCACGTGTATAAATATTATGGTTAAACTTGACGTGCAATCGTACCGTTGATATACCAATCTACTGAACGTGTAAATACTACAAGTGGCACGCGAACTGGACGAGCGTACACCCCCACTGTACAGGAACGCATTCTAATTTTTTAGCCTTTTCTTTTTCGTCAATACTTAACTAAAAGGGCACTTAGCTTGTAAGTCAATGAAAGCCTCGTTCTGATATACTGGACAAACAAACTTTGAAAATGAAAAACCTTCGTAGGTGATTACCATATCCGAGAGTTGGGTTAGAGTTTCGCAAACAATAGCCTAAAATGTCAGAAGAAAATCACGAGAACAGACTTGAGGTGAAAGACCATTGAACAATTTGACAGACAGCGTGGCATTTAACCTCGTTTTGAAACTTTAAAGAAACATTGTATGACAGTTATGAGATGAAATACAGATAAAATGAAACCTTTGCTCTTTCTTTGATAAAAGGGGCGAATGTTAGAGACCCATGCTACGAGAAAAGCAATGAATCATTTGATCAGGATACATGTGCAGGTCTTGACGAAGCCAGCAGATATGTGGTGAACAGTTTGGTGTAGTATTTCACAACATTGTTCCGGTTAGTTGTATCTACTGGAAACTCATGGTTTCGGTCGACATAAATATCTCATTTACAAACTAACTGCTTCCGCCGTAATCTGTGTTAGTGATCACTTTTCTTAATTTGCTTGCGATGAGAGCATACATCACGATAAGGAATAGACAAGGCTTTAATAAGTTTGGAAAAATCATTTCAGACTGCTTTTGCTACCTGTAACACCCTTCCTATCTCTATGGTCCAGGTTTCACTACAATCATTTGAACACCGTTTTAACGTCTAGAAGAGGATTTATTCAAGAGTCCTGTCCTTTATCATCTACACGTTTTTCACAGGTGATCGGTGTGGTATTAGACATTCCGAAAGTAATAGTAAATAGGATGACACAAAGAATACATAAACGAGAGCAATTATACTCTTAAGAAAACTTTTAAAGAAAATGTAATAAAACCCGCATCAAAAATCCAAAACAATGAAGAAAAGATTTGTTAGGAGTTTTATGTAAGTAGCTTACATTCCACACATCGGTAAGATATGTCGAGTGTTATATCACATTTAGATTTCAGACAAAGAAAACAGTATATCGTTATGCCAATCACTACCTGATATAAGTAGAGTTTTGAGTATTGGATTTTGACTGTTCTTAGCAAGTCTCTTGTAAATCACTAGAACAATTACATGGTAATCTGGTGCCGGTATCCGAAAATAGGCGTAGTTTGTCGCGACGTGCTAGATTTTATCTGCCACTACTACAGCCTGTAACGTCGATGGCTTTTCACCGATTCTTGTCTCTGTACAATAATACTTCGGACGGCAGCAGGCAACAGGAATGTGAGGAGTTTTACAGCGAGACAAACACTAAGGCGTGGATTTCAATCACAACTTGGCATCCTTGAGTTAATTGTTCCTTAAATTATCAGCATGACGTCTTTGTGTATTTTTTAAAGAAAAAAAATCTGGGTTTTATCTGATTTCCAGATATGCTGTTGGAATTCGGAGATACCTTCTGACTTTGAAAGAAAGGAAACAGAAACTCGACAGGAAATAAATCGGCCATGAAACGAAAGTGTTTCGTCTGCAATATCAGATCAGGTAGTGAATTGTTTGTCTGTAAAATGAAACTACGAAGAGGACGATGGGATATTTCGTTATAAAGTGAAGACCTGAGATACCTACCGACTTCCTGTGTACAATGCTGCTCGTCCTCACCGTGAGGACAGTTACTGCGACCATTACAAACGAGTTGGTTACTGATACACCATTTGTCACAGAAAAACTCTCTGGTGTTGCCACATTTGTCTCCTTAAGAAAGAAAAAGAAATTAATTTAGTAAATCTTTCAAAATAGATAAATATATTCATCAAAAACAGAATGTCATTAAACACATAAAATCATGTGATATGTTTCACGAACGATGTAATTAGTGTAATACAGAATTTTCTGTTCACCTGAACTGGATGAATATTCGGCGACGACCTTCCGGTACACGGAATACTGCACGTCCACCCTGGGTAAAGACTCCGGTCGGTTGCCATAGAGACGAATGAAAACCCGACTGCTGACCGACACAAATTCCGGAAGAGGTCCGTTGCAGTAGTGGAATATTCTATCCTTGGGGGCCGTCGTTTTGTCATAAATCTCTATATAATTGGCACTACAATCCTTGGGTCGGGGAAACCAGGCTGAGACGTGAGACAGACGAATCTGTGGGGCAAAACACAGTAATACGGATAAAAAGAGGCACATATTGTATCAAAAAAAGTTTTATTAAAAGACTGATTCAATGTGTCTGACTGAAAATAGTACTACCTAACCAACATATGATATTTTAAGTGAGAAATGAACAAGCGAACATCTTTAAAATCAATTAAATAACTGGCGGATTCAGAGGGGGAGGATCTGGCGCATGCCCCCTCTGAAATTGGCCAAGTGATCATTTTTTTGCGAGATTGATGAACTGAAGTTTCATCATCACACAGCTTATAGGTTTGTGGCACTTCAATCACATACAAAGTGAAGACATTATTTGTTAGTGTTCGTACAAAATCGGGGCGGCGCCCCTAATCATTCCCTGACAATTTATTGCTTTATAATTCCATCGACAGATTACTTTTCCAACCTAAAGCTGATCTTTAGTTCTCACTACGTAATAACGGACCTGATGGGAGGTGTATCGCATTAGTCCTAGGCAGTACGGTGCTTTTTTATCATTTAGAATTTGAAACAGCGACCGTAGGTTATCTTAAGCTTTGCGAAAGAAATAGAAACAAGAGCTTTTGAAGGATACCTTAGGCCTCCAGGCGGATAGCTGCCTTTACGCAAATACATGCATACATATTTTTTTTTTATAAAACAAATCGTTTGCCATATCATTCTGATTTCTTTTCAGCTTTTGGGTGGGCTTCATACCCCTTTCTGGGTCAACTCCCCTAGCCTGCAACCCAAATTGTCTAGATTTTTCAGTTGAAAACTTACTCGAAATCCTGGATCTGCCCTTGGATATCACGATAGTAATTATTTGTTATCAAAGTTCAACTTAAGCTCAAAATCGACAAAACGAGGTCAAATTGAACAAAAACTGTTTCCTCGTAATGTCTCTAGACTCTGCAGCTCCCGTTATAAACCACTTGACAACCATCTTCACGAGATGTCATCGTTCCCAACACTTATCTATATTGTAGTCGGTATAAATATGTCTCGGTTTTTTCATTATTATTATTTTCCTTTCAATGGGCTTTTCGGTAGTTTGGGTAGGTACTACTTTTGAGAAAATCAACTAGTTAAGTGTAGACGTTCAACTAAAACTGATTCTACTGTAGTTATTTTGTTGTCCTCTCATGCTAAATAGCCACCCATCTTGGCGTGGCCACACAATGGATGGATAATGCCTGTATATGTTATATTTTTATGAATTTTATAAAGTTACGGAACGTAAAAAAAAATCTCTCATTTTCGTCAATATAAGCGTTCTTCCCGAGAGGATGAGTCTTCCTTTTTACATGATTCTTGACCAACACACCTTACTCCCGGGTTGCGCGTGGACTTCCCACGTGCAGTCTCTGTGACCTTGTCTTTTACTACCTTCGGTATCTATATCGTCATTGTGAAGAGAAAAGTCAGATGACGTCAGTATTCCATCCGGCTCAATGGTGTTGAACAACATCCGACACACTGGAATGTCAATTTGAGTGCAATAATACAAAACAATATTTCGTTGGTTTTGGAACATTTTCCTCCAGTTGATAATGTCAAAACACTAGATGTTCTTATAACACAACCAGTCGGAATAACAGTGTAGTGCTAAACAAAGCGTAGCCGAATTGACTACAGTACATTGTTACCATCTGGTGTAGTTTTGGTCTATAATCTGTTTACCGTCTCGTCACACTATTTTCGACCTTAGTGTACATAGGATTATAGTAAAAGTCGATTTCTTACCATCTCGTACACTACGTACGTCAGTGCTAGTACGCTCCACACTGATCATTTGCCTGATGAAGGCTACTGTGTAGTCATCGAAACGTCAAACTCTAATCTGCTACTGGTTGTGTTATATGAACTTCTATAAAACTTCGTTCGAGATGCGTGAAATGGATGTATGAGTAGATTCGTGAAATGTCTTATTCAACAGAAACGGGCCAGGAATTATAAGAGCGAATTACAAAATCGAGGTGAAAAATATTGTATAATTGTTGACAAAATGTGATTTCATTCTGAATACTAATGTGTGATTTGATCAGCAGCAACAATTTGGCCTCTTTCCTACTACCGTCTTACGTTCCCTTTTGTTTTACAAACTTCAGCCCATGAAATTGCTGTGTCGATTTTACTTGTTGCGTGTAAATATTCGTTACGCATGCGCTACTAGTGTAGTAACATCACTTACCGTTGGATTCTTCTTTCTTTGGGTTATAATCTGAAATACAAACGGACGAACTTTAAATAATGCACGTACGTTCTACTAAGTAATTACACTAATTCATTTGTTTAGAGGATACCTGAAAGTTGTAAAGAGCAAGATATACAAACTGACTTTAGACTGACAGAGCGATAGCTCACGTTTTATTTTGTTGTTAACCCTGACATGACGACTTTGGTATACTTACTTTGTTTCTTCACAAACGAGTATATCGCTTTGAAGCCCTTGTCGCCAAGGTTTTTGTCACTTTTGAAACGTATCCAAATGAACCGTGTTGAGGATCGGATCAGAGGAGGAAACTCCTTGCCACAATATTTATCAATGAGCGGAGAGTAGGAGAAGGGACCGTCCCGAAATTCCAAGAAATCGTATTTACACTCCTCCGATGTTTCTACGTCAAAACTTCCTCGGAAATCCACATGGATATAGTATCCTGGTTGAGCTGTTCATTGGAGAGAAAAAAAATATACATACTTTATAAAACATAACATGTTTAAGGTTTAATCGGGAATATCAGATACTAGCAGGTTTTCGCTAATGTTTAATGTTTTTGTGACGTATACTAATTTAAAAGTTAATTCGTAGAATGTAACACATTTCATTGTTTGCCGAGGGATGCTTCATAGCTGTATATGAAAAAATACATCTCGTAGAATAAGAAATTCTCATGTTGTTTTCGTTTCAAAAAGGAAGAAAGAAAATTATTACCAAAAATAAACTGACGAGCTTACATTTTGCATTGGTTTCTTTTGATAAATACCTAAGAATTCGATTAATTTCGAAATCTTCACTCTGGTAAATTCAGATGTGGTTAGCCCATCATTCACATTACACATATATTTACATTTCGCCATTTTGTGTTATCGGAACTCTTTGATGCGGGAGTCCCATTCGGTTTACAGTGTCTCGCAGTTATCTTCTCATTTTCCTTTGATCTTACGAAAATTTTTAAAATGGAAAATGCATTCCGAGTTTATTTTTGGAATGTTTAAATGGACATTGGTTGTAGTATATGACCTAGAAACTACATTGAAAAGAAAAATGAGTTCTTGAACTTTGCTGTAGAAATCATTTAAGTGCTTTCGTATGTAAACAGTGATAATGAATATTTACTCGAACAGAGCACAGATTCGTGGAAGTGAGTGACTCGGGCTATATACATCAATACTAACTTGACTTATTTCCATAACGGAAATAACTTAATTGAATGAATAACTTTAACATGCGGCAGTTTAAATTTCGTTGATAAATCTATGGCTTTTAAAAAACTATTTTTGCTGGTGTTTAGTTGATCCGTTTGCGTGAGATTACTAAGTAACCTTTCCACGCCAATAACACATTTGATGTGTCAGATGGATTTAACGTTTTGTCAAGGATTATGTTAGAAATTTCAAATACAGTTGTTATCAGCAAATGTCTGCAAAAACGTGTAACTGCCTGATTATCACTTATACATGATGGAGAGACAAGTGCAAAAACATATTGACTTGTCGGCATAGCAATATGGATTTATTAACGTCGAGGCGAATTCAAAGTTATCAGACATTTATCTTCGCAAGAGTGTAAGCTCCTTACTTTAGGGGATCAAGAAAGAGAGCTAGTACCAGCCTGGGCCGCTAGAGAATCGACACCCCGCCAAATAGATCTGCACCTGCTCTCCTCTATAGCGGAGACCAAGAGTGTTTTGTCCAGAATTTGTAAATAAAACTTGTTTGTTACAACAAAACTTCATGTTGTTTCATATATTACAGTTGTTGTCCTCTGAAACCGACAAATTAATGTTCTCCATTAGATAAATATCGTTTCTATATAACCTTATTTTCTTACAATTTTTCCAGTTTAGATGTATATCTTCACTTTTATTTTGCTTTCCTCAATTCGTCTTCTAACTTCCGGTACTATAGGCACCTAGCATCACTAACGAGACCCAAAGGGACGAAACAGCTGCTGGTAATTTCAAACGTGTTATTCGTGAGTCTCTTCTTTGTCATAGTCATGATTTTTTACAACTAAATATCAGTAGGAAGTTTTAGTCAAAACCTTACAAACATTATCGTTTTATATTTTCTAATTTCATGAGACGACATGGTTATCTCTGCAGATAACGATACCTTCCACTTGGAAATCTACTTTATATATTACACAAAAATCTGCAGCCAATGGTTATCAATTTGTAAAGCATTAGTCAGGTGAAACAAACTTAAGCCCTCAGGATTAGGTAGGCCTATGGGAACTTGTAAATTGTATTAGATGGAATGTGTCTTTTCTATTTTCGTTTACCCTCGATGACCTTTGAAACATCACCAAACGAACTAGCTTCTTTATTCTGTTGTGTAAACTGATATTTTTATGGCAGTTTGCGTTGAAAGAAAACCCCGCCACTAATAAAACAGAAAGTTGACCATTGCTAGATCATCAATCTCCCAAATTCTTAAGGTAAGAAGTACACGTCTAACTAATTAGATAAAATACATACACTAAGTATTATATTTGTATGTCCTATATTAGTCGATGTGTAGGACATGCATAACTATATAACCTCGTTAGTACCAAAATAAGAGCAAATACGTTTTGTTCTGATTAAGACCATTTCGTTAGATTAAAAACCTATCTACATATTTCAGAATAATTTTCCTACCATACTACTTGCAGCCTGGCTATATGGCAGAGTTGTCTCATCCATTAAGTAAACTGTACGACGGTCCTACCGCTGTAAGTTCACTAAGGTGACGTAGCTAGGAATACTATCGTTTAGAAGGTCTGATTGGATTAAAAACAGTTTCCCAGGAAGGCGGGGGGTCACTGACGATCCGATACATCATCCGAACACGTCCCGTACTCACAAAAACACAGGCGCGGTTTATAACACAAGTACTTACGTTTATAATTAAATCTTAACACTGTGATTTTATGAAATATCTGGCCCTGCTGGTGGTAAGGTACTCCTTAGTTCTCGGCGTGGCAAACAGTTAGAGGACGCGCGACAGTTATATCGAGAGCCATCAACACATGGCTAAAACCAAATGGAAATGTTAATTGAAAGTGTACCATAAGTCATTTAAGAAACCTGAATTTGAATAATGTGTTGGTATTCCACTAAATCATTCGTGGCGAAGGTTTTCACTTGTAAAGAAAACGACCCTTTGCAGCTTAGTGTGTAATTACCGCAAAAGTATATTTGTAGGGGGGATGTTTAGAAAGCTTAGTTATGATTTTGAAACCTTCCCAGAAAATGTAAATATTTGACAAATATGAATAAATAGACGAAATTAAATTTGTAATTGTGTTGTAAGTAGAGTAAGGATACGTAAATTCGCATACTTGATCATGTTTCGTCTTTTTCCTTCAATTATCAGTGGATTGTGCTTTTTCGTTTGTTTGCCGAGTTAAGCCAGATTTCGCTCTTGCTTTTGCTGTTCTAAATATAGCACTTTTGGGTTAACCTGACTTTGAAAACGAAACATTACTTATACGGATCTTGTCAATGGGCATAAGGTAATCAAATATTCAATAAAAATGTAATCCTAGAGATAGATTAGACTACACATTTCCAAATGATAAGAGAATATATCATTGTATCAAATTATAATTAAGTTTTGTAAAATCGACCCGACCGAATTCACCTATAATAACAGTAAGGCCCCCATGGCCTGTCGTCTGCTCGTTTACAGTTACTTCTTTGGTAGCAGACATTACTAAAGAATACGGGCCAATAAGCCTGTTTAACCCTCTGTTTCCAACAGCATAGATACCATATAATAACATAAAATAAGTTTATAATATAAAATTTGAATGAATTTTATTTTACCATTAATAAAATGGCAGTACAATGGCGGTAAAATGACATTTTTCAATTCGGCGGAATAAATTGGATTTTCAACATTTCTCTAACCATTTTATGGCCCAATATAAGTTTCAGAGTTTTTTTGTTTTCTTTTTGTTTTAGAAGACGTTTGAAAAGCGTGCTTAGCTACAAAAATAAGGAGGCTAGAAAGGTTTGCCAAATTAGGTTCCGATTCGTATTCAAACCAGGAAGTAAACACCGTTAAGAACAATGTCCATGCGCAGTAATATGCGTGCGCATACCAGGCTACGTACTTACATGTTACGAAGTGTTTGTACGTCTAATCAAGCTGGACAATCTTGATCGTTTGGAAATAAATATGATAGAAGCGCATATAAATACATGCCGAAAGTGTGCGAAATCATGTATCCTTAACCTAATAGGAGCCTAGACATTTTTAGTGGACTTACCTTCGAGGTACTGTGTGCATTCGATGTCATTCGGATATTCCTCGGGATAGTTCGGGCTATAGAATTCTGCACGAAGACGGTCGCCATATGTGAAATTCCAACATGCTGGAGATACGATATCCCCTAAAAGGGATTGTTGTGGGTATACAAGGGCCTCAGCGACTGAGGATTGTGTTTCTGGAAAAATGTAGAAAATCAAAAGTATTTAGAATTTGTTCATCAACCCTTGTCATAAATAAAATTTCATTAGAATATGGAACAACAAATACCTGACCATTTCGAAAGGATGGAGATAATTCCCAGTAATGAAATACTGGGGAAATATCGTGACTTTAACAGACTCCTTGTCCTATACTTCAGTGCATTTTCTACATTTATTTAATACATCGTTTTTCTTTCTTCAGTATTGGGTAATTAATAGCTTGAAACATGACAGCATACCAAGCATCAAGTATACCCATATATTTATTCGTTCTGATATCTCAATCAAGTTCGATCTAACAAACATCAAGAACACGAGTCACTGTTTGTTTTTATGTTCTTATATATGAATCAGGTTTTATTTTGATTTGATTACATAATGATCCGTATGTGTGTGGTGGTATGATGCATAGTCTAGACGGCAAGGATTGTACGACCAATGGCAACATACAATCACTTACACCTTGTCTTAACAATTGTTTTGCGATATTCCTGAAGTAAACACAATTAATTTCACAACCAATTATTTGCCAAATTTTCTAGAGAGCTTTACTTTTGTATCCTTGCTGGACCAAACAGAATGTATAGGAAATAGAGTCTCTATGATCGTTAATTTCATTTCGTTTAATTGTTTTATTTAAATGATGGCAAAGATATTACAACCTCTTTTACTTATCTTTTAGAAACACGGATGGCTCATCTATAGAAACATGCCCACACAGAACCTACATATTTGTTCATTTGCATACCCACACATACCTACATATCCATACATTTACATACCCACACATACCTACATATCCATACATTTGCATACTCACACATACCTACATATCCATACATTTGCATACCCACACATAACCTACATATCCATACATTTGCATACCCACACATAACCTACATATCCATACATTTGCATACCCACACATAACCTACATATCCATACATTTGCATACCCACACATAACATACATATCCATACATTTGCATACCCACACATAACCTACATATCCATATATTTGCATACCCACACATAACCTACATATCCATATATTTGCATACTAACCTACATATCCATACATTTGCATACTAATTTCCATATACAGCTTAATCATAATTCCTTAATCATACCTGCAGTTCGATACTGATAATTGATTAAGTATACCTGCAGTTCGATACTGATAATTGATTAATTATACCTGCAGTTCGATACAAAGTGATCATTATTATAACTACAAACAGGTCAATATTCATTCGTATAGCGTATCATTGGAAACATGTCCACATTAACAAATTACTACCTGCACTTATACACTTATACCATATGTACTGTATAATATGTATGCATCCGTTTGCATTCATGCTAATAGTACTCAAACATATCTGTACACATAATCTATAATATCACAACATGTACTTCACACCAAGTACATAAACCTACCCATACACCACAAAAATGACATTCAATCATATACACATGTTGGTATCTAAGGTTGTGTCTCACACAAAAAGGTATAAAACACATATCAACCTTCAGGAGATTACTTTTTTTTAATGTCAGAAGCGATTTGATATGCAGCACTGTGTTGCGTTCCCGTTGGTGGATCATTTTCAACCAATTTTAAATTTTTATCTAACTTCACCTTGACAAAAAGAGTATCATCAGTCAGAGTGAATAAGTACGAACACATCAATACAGATTAATTTTCACATGTTAAACCTTTCCGTATGGAACGTGCATTAAATGTAGATAGAACATATTCGGTACATGTAATAACCCAGAAAATCGCTTAATTGTTCAATTATTGTCGGTAATCTGTCGGTTAAGCGAGTCGGCGCCCCATATCTCGACTTTCGGATTTCTTAATTGGAGCGAAGCTCATCGAAATAACTTCGATTAAACGATTATATGTAAACATCAGTTTGATCTACAGAGAAAATGAATGACTCTCTCATATCATAACGAGCAACGTTATTTCTCAGTATAGTTTCACTAACACAGGTATGATGCTGGGCGTGATGTGTAAAAACTTCCTGAAGACCGTCACCAACTTACACTAAGTATTAACATATTGTTTTGCTATTAACAAAATAATAAGAATTCCTAACAAATTACGAATATCTCAATTATTTATTATCTTATTTAAAGGCCAAATATAGTAGAGACAAGATCGTTTGTGGCGCTGGATTTTAACCGGAGAACCGTCTATTAACAGTTTAACGGTTTAGGAAAATCCCTTGAACCCGCCATTACACATTAATTAGTTATCTGTTTATATGTCACGTTTACACGTCTCTAATTAATGTTTACATTACCAGCGCGACAACGCGATGATGCGACATAGATATCCCCAAACACGATTTTTTGCGCTCTGAATGTTTTTATTTTTGTTGTTGTTTTTGCACTGCCGTATTGGCGCGTAGAATTTGACACATTTTCGCGTTGAAGCGTTACGGAATTTCGCGTTGTCGCGTGTAGACGTGTTGTTGCGTTGGGCGAAGGCGACAATGCCAGACTGCCGAAATCAGCCACCATACATTCGTGCCAGACTCGTAAAGGTGTTTCCTCGCCAGGTGTTGCATTATCTCCTCTGGAACCTCTCGTCTGCACCAGAATAAATACATGTTGATGTTTGTCTTTTGATAAAAGATCTATCAGATTTATAATGTAAGCTTACATAACGTTACAGAACGATAATAGTTTATCTGTGAGTCAACCAGAACCCTAAAATAACGGCCATAATGAAGCTAATTGTGGCGGGAAACACGACATCATACCAGGCTTGACACGTTCATCGCTGAAATAAATCGCAACTCTGTAAAAATTACAGCGACATTCATAAAAACTCGGCAGTTACAGCCCCACCTCTCGGCATGGGTTGTCTTCTTTTAAAAAAGGAACCAACTTTTAATTGAAATCTGACATGTATATGTCACCACACCGCTACACCTGCTGTTTAGAAGCGGTAGTTAGTACAAGCTCTCCTTCAGTTGGTGTACGGTTCTCATATGCACCGTATAACAACTATTCCGTACTCCGTTATCTGGTGTCAGATGTAACACCAGTAAACCGAACATCCAATATAAAACACGTACTATATAGCACCGCGAATTCATCAATGACTATCTGTTTCTAAGATTGAGATAACAGTTCTCGGTATAAAGTTATATCTCATGGACTACCTCCCAACCAACATCTAGGTCAATTTAAATCTCGCGTGATTACATACTTCCGGAATTCTTTTTTATAAAGGCTTCGATTTCGTCTGATGAAATTTCGTTTTTATTGATAAATGCATATTTCAAAGACGATGCAGTAAGATACGTAATGATGACTGGAGAACGTGGAGTGCAAAGGACTTGGATACCCTTGTGTAGTGCTGTTAACTGAAGGCCTGTCCCGCTCCTCCCTACACAAGTACCACGTCATATCTAGATTTCTATTTAAGTAGTTATTGATATTTTAACTGATATATTTTATCGTTAACAATTGTCGTTCTGTTTCCATCGACAAAGTTTATATTCTAAGTAAAAGCCCGCGATTCTAAAATGAACATCGATATGGCGTCCACTTCATTTCGGTCCGAAATAACCCGTCTGTAACTCCTGTCCATTGCCGTATGTTTAATGTTATATAAAAAAACCCACCTCAATACTAATTTAAAGACTTTCGTATCCAGATGAAAGCAGCCCAAATTTTACACTACTATTTTCACATTGTGCTATTTTATAAGAACGTATCCTAAGACTGACAATTTAGTGACTTTATCATATGTGGACGGAGGCGATATATAACCTTGACTTTCGCTAGAAGTCAATCAGTTGATCAATAGGGAAATAATGATTAACGTTGTACAGCCACTAATTTGACAGTATTTTTTTAATGCAACAATTATTAAAATAACCAGTAACGATAGCTAGATCGACCACTCCTACTTGTATATTCCTTGAGTTTTGTTTTCCAACTTTTACACACAGTCGCCAAGTACCCTACCCACTGCTCTCCCCTCCCCATTCATAATTAATAGCATACTAATAGACGTACCTCTGCATTGATAACCAATTACATAAACATCATAAACATGGCCTTCGCTCCAAGATACTCTGTTCTATATCTCAACGTTATAACCCGTCTTGTATGTGTAACGTCACGACCTATTTGCTTTCCCCTTCACGGTGACGTGGTGTGCCAACCAAGTCGACCCGAATTAGTCGCAGATTCTCCGGGAATCCTCGGTTATTTCTATTTCTTTACACTCAAACGGGACCTTAATCCCGTGAGTAATACATGTAGACCTATCAAAGAGTCCTTGGACTCAAACGTAATTATGCTGCATATTTTTGAAAATTAGACTTCTCAACATTTTTGTGATTCCAATAGAATATTTAATTAATGTACTCGTCACAGGAGAGATTCCGTTCACTTCTTTTTCCCATTTGTAACATCACTTTTGATTTCGTTGCATTTAAAAAAATCATCTGATATTTCAAAACTTACATATTCAGTCATTAAATAAATCAGTGTATTTAGGTTGGCATCATTCCATTACGATCTAAGGTGAAGGTACAGAGCTGTATATTGAAAGTGACGATAGGGTTAACCTAGATACAGAAAAGATAGGACTTTCTACAATAAACAGTCATATAATACATTACCATAAAGTAGGTCCGAATTTTCGATGTTTTCAGTATTTTATTCTAAGACCTGTACAAGTACTTTAAAGAAATATGTTACAGAACTGATATGTGTTGGATTACAAAAAGCGTTGTTATTGAATGAACAAAGTAGGGAATATCTCATTGGTGCAGCTTGAAAGTAGTTAAGGACAGCGTAATTACACATGAACAAATATATACCACAGCGTCAACACACAAAGACAAATATACCACAGCGTCAACACACAAAGACAAATATACCACAGCGTCAACACACAAAGACAAATATACCACAGCGTCAACACACAAAGACAAAATATACCACAGCGTCAACACACAAAGACAAATATACCACAGCGTCAACACACAAAGACAAATATACCACAGCGTCAACACACAAAGACAAATATACCACAGCGTCAACACACAAAGACAAAATATACCACAGCGTCAACACACAAAGACAAATATACCACAGCGTCAACACACAAAGACAAATATACCACAGCGTCAACACACAAAGACAAATATACCACAGCGTCAACACACAAAGACAAATATACCACAGCGTCAACACACAAAGACAAATATACCACAGCGTCAACACACAAAGACAAATATACCACAGCGTCAACACACAAAGAACAAATATACCACAGCGTCAACACACAAAGACAAATATACCACAGCGTCAACACACAAAGACAAATATACCACAGCGTCAACACACAAAGACAAATATACCACAGCGTCAACACACAAAGACAAATATACCACAGCGTCAACACACAAAGACAAATATACCACAGCGTCAACACACAAAGACAAAATATACCAGAGCGTCAACACACAAAGACAAATATACCAGAGCGTCAACACACAAAGACAAATATACCACAGCGTCAACACACAAAGACAAATATACCACAGCGTCAACACACAAAGACAAATATACCACAGCGTCAACACACAAAGACAAATATACCACAGCGTCAACACACAAAGACAAATATACCACAGCGTCAACACACAAAGACAAATATACCACAGCGTCAACACACAAAGACACACATACCACAGCGTCAACACACAAAGACACACATACCACAGCGACAACACACAAAATATACCACATCCGGACAAAACATACCACATCCGGACAAAATATACCACATCCGGACAAAATATACCACATCATAGACATCTACAGACAAACGGACACTGATCATAGTTCATATTGAAATAATTAATATTTGTAGTGATATTTCATCGACAAGAGGAGCAGGCCATGATTCGATTTCATCTCTATCTCTTTAATCATGTGATTACTGTTTATTTAATATCATACAGAACTCTGGATATCACAGCACCATCAAAACCGTCTCCCGACATACAAGAATGTCTCGTGTTGATTGTTATAATCTATGATTACCTCCCCTGATAATTCTACATCCGGTCGATATCAAAAGATTACACGAGCAAAAAGGTTGCCACCCAATCAAATCACTATGCTTATCGTATTTACTCAATGGCGGTTTACTGTGTAAATCAGGAGGGGAGAAATGTTAGGGGGTCAGACTAAAGTACTGGTATGTAATGTACTCTTATTGTAAGTTATGAACACAAAATCGACTCCAAATGCAATGATATATTGCGCCATGTGGTCCCACAAATGCCAGCGCGTGGATGTTTGATCCATGATTTATGTTATACCAGTAGATGTAAGTATATCTGATGCCCTCAGTCGTGACCAAACTGTACACCAGTTAATATATCATTTTATACATGTATTATTTCATTATGTGTTTTGCGGATTTTGACATGAGTAAACCAAACATGTATGAATAATTAATATTTTGCAGTCCAGGTTTTAGATTCAGGAATGTGTCGGATACGTTTATTTATTTATCTATTTCGTATCATACTTTTTTTTATAAACGCGAACAGAGGATGCCTAAAGCACTCTTCTTCTTCATCATATTCCTGATATCACTGTCTTCATTTGTCAAAGGTGGAAGTAAATTATCATCAATGCTACTGATGTTCCTAAATACAAATCCGTCCACGAGACAAAAAAACAAAAACAAAAAAAAAAAAAAAATAACATTAAAAAAAAAAAAAATACAAATAAACAAACAAAAAACTGAAATTATGGTAAGTTGCAAGAAAGTATTTCATCAAACATCAATCTATTTGTGATTAGACTAAAAAACAAAAGAAGAAAACTTACCCGATTCCAAGTCCTTCCCTGCCGATAAAGGCATTCGGTCGTATAGAACAACAAACACAACTGTAAAAGAACAAAGTCATCCGTTAAGATTTGACAAAAAAAACCCAGCGATATGCCAGCATGATATACGGTTAATAATCCTCTACAATACTCGAATGGATACAAAAATAGCGAGTTACAAAAACAAAGATTTTCTGATACAATTTAAACTATCATAAAATTTGATATAACACTTCAAGTAAAACGAGAATCTGAACTAGATCACCATTCTTAGTTTTTGTAATCGCGATGTAAATTCTGTACGAGTCTCAACCGTTGACGATAACATCAAATTCCTTAGCAACCCGAATCGATATCATTTACATTAGTTACAATGTATTAAATACAGATGTTAATTTATCCGTGACTTCTGAGTATAAAGTTCAAAGTATTAAAGACCTAACGAGTATGTAGTTAGAGAGAAGAACTAAAATGTATCGTTACCTGTTTCACAGACTTTATAGAAATAAAAAAAAACTACGAAAATGGTCTGAACATATGTGCAGCATGTAATCGTACGTGTCAGCAGACCTATAATAAAACTCTATTTACGACTATTGCTCTGAAAAAAATATCATAAGTTTTTAAAAGAAAAGTACATGTGCCATGTGAAAAAGACACGTCATTAATATAGTTTAAAGACGGGTTTAAAGACAAACGGACAGACATAAATATAGTAGACCTATAGATAGACATCACTTATAGCCACGACTGTTTAATGACATGCTCTCAGTTTGTGTAACGGTTTAAAGTCATTTTTTTAATCTTAAGGGTTATCAGCAGCTTTGAAAATTTCTGCTATTTCATCTAAAGGATGGTTTACATAGATATTTAAAAATCTGATGATTTTTGTTTATATTTAACACTACAGTATGATACAGTAATATACATTGGTATTCAAGGCGGCCACGTAACGGTTTGGCTAAGTTAGACAGATATTGGTTGTTAGTGTGTAATTCCGTCATAGTTTGCAATCACTTCTTCAGTGTGACGTGTATTTACATCGACAGGTTTGTTGTAACAAGAGTACATGCAGGATAAAAACCAGATGGAAATTGGTTAATTAATTCTAGAAATAAACACGATTTCAACTTACACCATCCAATTAATGTTTAATTTATGTTTATTTATAATCGACTTGAATTTCTCCTGTCACTCATCTTGTTAACTGATGTCTACTGAGCATTTCAACAAATTGTTTATAGCGACAAATTTATCTAATGATGGATTCATTCAGCTGTTCCCGTAAATGATCGGACACGTCAACACATATAGCAGTAGATGTATATCAAAATCTACCTTCATCATTATATTTATAAAGTCCATGTCACCGAACAGGCAACTCGCAATATATGCCAGATCCTGTCAGCGTCAACGTATCAAAGCACTAACTCATTTGGAAATACGGACCCTAATGTATAGCAAATGTAGTCTTATCGGAGAATCATCACGTGGAGATTTATATAGCATGTAATAAAGATACTGCTGGAGTGGACCATGTCCTTACATCGAGAGCTGCAGAAAAATGTCATACCCGTTTCGAGCTGAAGGAAATCAGACGAAGTAAAACCCCGTGCTTTCCAATTAAGAGTAGATATGAAAGTGGATTTTTAAAATCAGGGAAACCTTTGGTTAACCCAGTAGTAAATTACCGTTACATTAGCCACTACATAAGTTGTGTCTGTTTTAAACGATTTAATCCGTCACCAGGGTTCCTATTGTTTCGGTCACATGTTTGTCACCACTATCTGTTGATGAAATGGTATGTGATGGCGAGAGGATAAAAAACTTTAATGAGGGATATGTATTTATTTGGGATCAAATCTATGTTACTGATACATTACTATAGATATTTTAAATGTTTTAGGAAGGCGTAACTCACTCGAATAAAAAGAAATATATCACACATTACAATTATACAAATGACCAGACAGAGGTTTTCAGCGATCAGCTGATGTTGTTTATGACGTCAGAATGTCCATGTACGTTCTACCACTTTTATAGGTTTGGATTCTATCTTAGACACAACGCCCATCATTTGTCGAAATTGCTCACCATGTGTCTTCCAGATGTTCATTTTGATGGTCAACAGACTCAGAAGTGGCAGACTGTCCAATTACATCATTTCGGACAATAGTTAACATCCTGGCCACATACTGACAGCATTCTCACGCGAACCTGGGTGGTCTAGATAGACAGATTACACCGTCCGTTTTGGCGGCTTTAGTATTACAATATGACCGGAAATACGCGAACCGCCATACGTTCACATTGTTACTCTACCTAGGTTTTTTTTTCAAGTGAAAATGACGCTTCGATTCGTTTATATTTGTTTCTATCTTTTTTGTATCAAGTTGTATTAATAAGAAGACATTTTTGGTAGCCATTTTGTTGACGACCTTGGCCGGTAGCTGTTTTCGAGGATGACATTTATCCATGCCTGAGATACGATATATCTCTTGTATGCTAATCAGGTCGTTTCGCCCAGTGTGGCTTGGCGTTTACTGTCCAAAATAATGAGGGGTATTTCAAATTCACGATATTTTTGGTAAGTAGTGGTTTTCAAAGTATTGCATTACTAAAAAAACTGTTCTTGACAACAATGCGCCGCGTGCTAACTGTCGAGATTTTGCATTCATTTTTTGTTATTTATCTGTACAAGATTCATGAGTTTGTAGCACAACAAAACTTGGAACCGGATATGTAACGACCCATGCAAAGAGTGTTTATTTTGAATTCACCTTCTTGTGAAAAGTACTTGTTTTAGACAGGTTCTGGTCTGTCAATTTATTCTAAAGAGCTAGTTCTGATGTAAACCATGACAGGCCGTGCAAGGTGCAGATGCTGCCCTATCAGGATGGTGACGTAACCATGGCAACCTGGGCATGTTTACTACAGGACATAAACGTCAGAGTGTAAACTGGTGGTAGATAAGCCAGGGGTCAAAACGGCGGCTTTTGTTACTAGAAATAAAATCGTTACGCTATCACTATCTCTGCCTGACCAGATAATACAGGTGTTCCAGTACAGAGTTCTCGGTACAGCCGATTCTTTGGGAATCTTTGCATCTGATACAGACACGCTAAGACATCTTTTTACCAATGTACCACGCAGAATTTGGATGTATTTCTAAAGCGTGGTCGTCAACTTGTATAGATAAATACTCGAGTGAGCATCTTAAAAACAATACTAAAATCCCTTTAAGAGAAACATTTGAGACAGATGCCGTTTTAAAAACACAAAGTTTGCCGTAATCGAAAAAGTAAGAATGTTGCATTATGTCCTGTACGTAAACGTGACAAAGACTATCATTCAGGACACAATACGAAATGTCATGGAAAAAATCAGGCAAGTATACCACTTTTAAAACATTAAATACAGGAAATCAATAGAAAGGTAATTATTTCTGTAACATGAGAGGCCGCTGGTCCGCCGATTTATTATTTGAGTTATTGTACTGACTACGACATCTGATTTCCCAAGCACCTTTTCTTGGATGCTCGTTCCGCCCTGATTTCAGACAGAAAACATTCAGTTCTATCTCTACAGCTTTAGACTTGATAACAGCTATGATTAGTTAATAGGCATTTGACTAACCCATTTAGATGGTTCAATAATTTTCATATAATATGTTAGTGAATGTTTATCACAAGAGGAATCACAGGCTCACTACATCGCTGTAATGATCTGTCTTTCAAACATGGCGGTTTCGGTCCATGCAAAATGCGAATGTATGATTTAAATGAAACGAATAGAAGTGACGAAAGGAAAAGCAAATCCTATTGATTTACCATGTACATAATTATATTTCCGTTTTTCAATCAACATTACATTTTTGTAACTCTTTAGTGGAGAGTGCTGATGTTTTGTCCGCTACTTTCGGCACATTTTAAATCGTGACAGAATGCAGTTTCAGCGTCAGGTCAATCGCTTTCGGGATAGTAATATATGTAACAAGCATACGAGTTTATTGTTTAAAAGTAAACTTGGAGAAAAAACTCTAATTGGATGGTGTGCTGTGTGAAACGAATCTCGCACCAAAAAGCTTCTTGTTGACACAACTCTTGCACACGACAGCAGTAAACCAGTGATATCACCAAGGTACCTGACCGCCTCATCAACCATCAAATGCCTTCTTAATGTTGGCGTGTCGGAATGTCTTCACACAGGAATGCAAACCAAGTACCACGCCTGTCAAGCCTTACCACAAACCATACCGTGTACCGCTATTGTTACCAGAATAGAAGCCAGGCATCAAAGGTCAAGCCTTTTGTTTCAACACGTGATTAGGAGGTCATGGATGACGTTCAAGTATTTCTGGGGTTATGTCGCGCACATTTAGACTAACTAGCCTGTATCGAGACTTTTTCAGCTGCCGCGTGGATCTTGGTTTCAACTGAATTCGTTTTTTAGCCTGTAATTCTGACCTGGAAAATCATTGTTCAAATGTATCTGAAAACGAATTATATTTTCAATGCAATTAACTGATGGAAACCAATAAAAACATCTTAAAACCTAGAACTAAATCTCGAGAAGAGTTTCAGTGATATCATAGAGGATTCATTGTTTTCATTTGTTGTCGATTTATGTGGTGTAATATATGAAGGTGGAGTTCCGAGGGCTCCGTTGTGATTGGTATTGTGTGTAAGTGTTATGTGATAAGATAAAATCGACGTATAAAAGGCTTACTACTACAGTCACTTCACACGTAATGTAAAATTAGTGTATAATAGACCTATGATAACACAACTATCCACGCCTTTCACAACGGGAGAGTGATGGCAAGGGCGATAACTCAGGCGTAATGAGAGAGATTACACGATAGATCACCCTCTTATGATATCACATGTAAAACAGTTGTTTATTGGTTAAACCCATAACAAGGGCGATAACTTGATAAGTAACCCCACTTGATGTAATCAGTAGAACAACAGACGTTCTCCTTGAGAAGGTCCTTATGTTTGATTTCTTTCCACATACTGGAGGCCCCCTATATAGAACACTGAGCTCCAAGTGATAGT